GTAATTTATGGGGTTCTGAAAACTGACAGGGTTGCCCAAACACCTTTTAAGGGCGGGGCACTACTTACTTTTTATCAATACGAATTCATGGGAATCACGAGTCTATCCGTTGGCCTTCGGCAATTCTTCACTTTCTACTGCTGAGATAATTCGGTCTTTCTATCTTGTCTTAAAACAGCAGGTGAACTCAAATTCCTAGAAAAAAATAACATCTTTATGTAAATGCTTATCCAAGTCTTATATTATAATCCAGGGCCTTGTCCGAACTGCTTCACTTTCCAATATCTAAGTTAATGAGATCTTGACATGATCGTATCGTGTGAATACCTCCCTCCAACTTCTGTCTACTTCTAGTCCCTCGAGCTTTCCGCGTGCTCATCGCGGACACTGCCAACTTTACGAAGCTTTCTCCCCCGCCTCTCAAGATACGCAATTAACAAAATCACCGGCACAGTCAACGCGCCCGTCACCAGACTAGCAATGTAACCTTTCCGATAATTCGGTGCATCCGTCACGGGGTAAAAGATTAGAGGCCACCACGTCTACGTTTCATCAGTCAGTGCCAAAGAAAAATGCGAATGGGGGGGAACAAAAGTAGGTAGCCCACTCACCACAAACGCAAAATCAAACGAATTCATGAACCCCGTCGTAATAGCCCTCAGCTGCAAATCGTGCGCCGTCAGATCCGCCATCCACGAGTACCACAGCGCCTGCGGCGCATACGTAGTGCCCATGAGATAAAACGCGAAAAAGTACCCTGCGTCCGGCGGGTTCGAGATCAGAATTGCGCTGCTGACTATGAAGGTGAACCCGATGCACAGCGAGGCCTGCCAGCGCGAGCGAAGCTTATCGGAGACTGCACAGTAGATGAAGGTCGCGACGATACCTGTGGCGTAGGTCGCGGTCGGGTAGTTGTTTTGCTGGATTACGGAGTAGCCCCGGGATGCCATCCAGAGGGGTATGACGTTGTTGCCTATTGCTTGGACGCTGAGGGAGTATACTATGTTCACATGTCAGTACCGACTCAGGACTAAACGGTTGTGAAGACTCACGCATGAAGACGGTTGGGAGGAGCCAGAATTGCCAGCTGAGTAGGACACGTTGGAATACGCTCTTGTCCCATGCTTTTGTCTGTGTTCTGCCGAGGCGAGTGACGGCGAGGTCCCTCTCTTCCGGGGTCAGGAATCTCGCTGCGCGATGCTCTGGTAGGTCCGGGATGGCGAACCAGCCTTTCGACATGTCAGCTATCGACCAAATCATGCTATGAACACATGCAGGAACCCACCAAAGACGGCAAAGGGGATGGTGATGCACGAAACCACTATGAAAATAAGTCGCCAGGGCTCAATCGGGCCGTTGGATAGAGACGCCAGGAGTCCCGCCTGGATCCAGCCTCCTGCCATGTTGCCGAGATTGCCAAACGCGCAAAAGACTGCTGCACGGGTGGCTAGCTCGGATTGCTTGTACCATGATCCGTAGATGAAGTGCGCGCCGACGCTGAGGTGCGGTGTTAGCAAGGTAACTTTACGAGGCGCACGGGAGAACTTACTATGCGATGGCTGAGAAAGCGCCCTCGAAGCCGTTGAGGACGAAAACTTGGTAGACGTGTGTCGCTCGGAATGTGACGAGGGTGAGGACGCTCCAAACTGTGTTCGCTGCGACGAAGACGTAGCGGGGTTTTACGATGGTTAGTAGTGAGGTTGAGGGAATTTGGAATACGGCGTAGGTGACTAGGTAGATTGTATGCATGTAGTTGAAGTCCTAATCAGAGGTCAAGTCAGTCGCTCTATCTGGTATGCAGGCTTTTGAATGTTGTTCTTGTTGCATTGTCGGGCGTCGCTCACCTTTCCTTGGAAATTCAGGTCCTCCTTCATGCCGCTGATATACGCTGTATTGTAGCTCGCGCGGTTGACGCCGAACAGGAACCACACGACAGAAAAGTAAATGAGCACGGTGAAATCAAGCTTGATAAGCAGCGATCGCTCAACAGACGGCGGGCCCCAGAGGGCTTCCTTGATCTTTGACACCATCTCAGACACGGGCTGCTCACGTTTTCGATGTGAGAGTGTCGAGCCGGGAAGCAGCGGCGCCGCCTCCCCAGAGGTTGCACCCGGCATTTTGTCTGTTATTTGAAGCGAGCCTGCACGCCAGCCCGCGTACTACCATCCAGGGTGCCACTGGGGTTCAACGATGTCGTCTTGAAGGGTTGCACATTTCGCCATCCCCGAATATCCCATGGGGAGATAAAGAAGGGAAGGTCGTTGGGCTTAACCGAGGTTCGGCCGATGTCTCTAACCGCAACCATGAAGGGTTGATCCTGTCATCCAGAGTTACACCCGTTCGGTACTAAGGCTTACAAAGGTTCTCTGGATCAAATGCTGAACCCCGCCTAACCCCACTACCCGCGGATTGCGCGATCTTGTCCGTTTTGATGGACATCTGGATGGGAGTTAGAGATAAGACCGTCAGCTTCAACAACCCCCGACTTCTTCATGCAACTGGTGCCGAAATAAGGTAGTTCTTGGAAATTCTTCAATTGGCCACCTTATTTCATACATATTGTCGGTACTTTATTCAGACTTGATAACGGCATATCTGCTTATCGGTCGATAATTAAAAAAATGTTGAAAGGGATCATCTAATTGCTATGCGTGTCAATCAATCCAAGATAAAGACTAAAGACCCGACTGAGAGCAGAAATGAAGTAACTTAACACGGATTTCCTACCATGTATTCAAGCAAGGGTCTAGTCAAACAAAAAAGACGATAAACGTTGTCTTGCCTCTGCGTCTTCCCATTCCACCAATTTCCGTTCCTTGGACTCCTCAATTTTGATTTGCACCATGGTGTCCATAGCAGCTTGCTCTTCCGAGCTGAGAAGGTGGATTCTAGTCTTCCAAAGCTTGCTTTTGGGAATCTTGCTGTTCGGATCACGTTGGCCAAAGAACTTTTCATCTAGATATTTCCAGTAAATCGCATCGAATGCCCAGCTCTTCCTCGCGGCATAGTTTAGCCAGAAACGCCCCGTGGCCCAGCTGTCTCGCATATAAGCTGAGAGAGTGAACGGCAAACCTGAGTTCCCCACTTCCTTCTCTGCGTCTTCCAAGGCTGACAGCCATGTCGGGAGACGTCTCTCGTATTCAGTCGCCCAATCGTCAACACCCTTTTTCCTGGATTCGGGTACATCGAGCAGCAGCCACCATGGTGAATCCAACGAGAACTGGGTTGGCGCGACGTATGAAAATTCCCAGTCGATAGTCCCAAGAACGTTGCCATTGTTGTCATCGGCGAGAATATTATCCGGCCTAAAGTCGTCACACCACAAGTGGAAAGACCCCGAATTATCCGGCATCGGCATCGTCGCACGCTTGTGCTTGGCCAGGGCTGACCAATCGTCCTGAGCAAATCCAAAGCTCGATAATCGGCCTTGTTTGGCTAATCTGCGGAAAAGTTGGCGCGCGACGTATTTGGTCCTGCAGTCATCTTCCGAGGATATCATGTCGTTGTGCTGAAAGAGGAGCGTTGCCATTTGCATCTCGGCCAGTTCCACATACCACTCATCGGCCGTCTGGTACGTTGCGTCTTTGGCCGGTAACACCGACTTTGGTATGTTGGAAAGTTTGACCATATTAGTCATGTTGAGGGTAACGGGCCGTCCTGCCACACAGATTGATCCTGGGGTGGTCTCGACAAGAGCCCCAATACGCGAGAACGTAGGTCGTGTAAGCTGCAGCACGCATTGTGCAATCTTGTAATAGAGGTCTTTGAGTCTGGCTTCAGGAATATCAGGGTCCAATAAGAGCGTATCAGAATCGGGCGGTGACAAGGCGTGCCCCAAGGTTTTTCGTGACCCCATGTCTTGGATAATGAGGAACGGGCCGAGGCCAGAAACGGGATCGACACCATGCTGGTAAACCTTGGGAACTATGAGTTGAGTAAACTGGGTAAGGTATCTCGCCGTCGCGGCTTCGCTAAGCATCATCTCTTCATGCAGAATGCCTTGACTGAGACAAGACAGGCGTATCAAGACATTTGCGGGAGAAGCTTCGCCGTCTAGTCGAAAGGTATAGAGGACGTGGTATCCACCGAGAATCACCGGTTCGATGACCTTTCCGGGCGAACCCATCACGGTCTCGGCAAGCGCTTCAACCTTTCGAGAATGTGATCTCAATGAGATTTGCTCAACATCTTCGTCCCAGAGTTTATCGGTCTGGTCCCATTTCAGGTTGTCAGAGTCCTGCCGAGCTGCCATTGCGCTGATAAACGAGGAGAGTGAAGAAGGAATGCAAACATGGAGGGGCTGGAAACACCAACCAACATTGTGTTGTATTTAAGACTATGCGTGCCTGAGGCTGCAAAGGTCGTTGGGCAGCCGAAGGCCGTGAAAGGTAGTGTGGGGGTTGGTGAGTGTCTTGGCCATAACAGGCTTAAGGAGGCGTAGCAGCTGACGTCCAACGGTAAACCCATTGACGAAACCTTCAGGGCCGAAACAAAGACAGCCAGTTCACCCAGCTTTCGGTGAGTCCTGCAAAACCCAAGAGGGTCATGCATTGTGGAGCTACGATAACACATCAAGCATTCCCTGGTCAAAGCTATTGAATTCAACGTTGGGGGCAGGCGCCGAATCGCGCCGAATTCTTTGATCAATGCACGTCGTTCGGTCCACTAACATCAATACTTTACTTACCTGTGACACGCCGGACTTGGCAGTAGACGATATCAAGTTACTAAACTTACCTCCACATACCGAACAACGTAAAAGATTTAACAAAGTCACTGTGTCGTGGAGCAAAGTACTTGACGGGTCTCAAGGGCTTGGTTTGAGGCAGCTGGGTCGGGACAAGGCACTCAGCAACTTAATTCTGTGGATACCAGCAGCGCTTGGAGCCCGACGGTGATGCTTAGTGATATCCATCTTGAAGAACAAATCCTCAGAATTCACTTTGAACGGCTAGAGGTGTAACAACCTCAATGTTCGGAACAAAGGTGGAATCTGGGGAATGATCTCGACGAAGAGAAACCGAGCATGGGTTTTGGTAAGCATATGGGTGAACGCTGAACAGTCTGATGCTGAGGATAAGGCGCTCACTGGACGGTAAACTGGCTGAGGACTTTGTGAGAAAGATAGTGAGCGATGGGTTCTTACAGTCAGAAGCTCGAATAATTCGAAATGAAGAATTGTATATAAGACAGAGAAAGCTTCGGGATATGTTGATTTATTCTAGAGTAGACGCTCACTCAAGCAAATCATCCCTTTCGACGTTCCCTAAATCGAGTAAACAACGTAAACTTTGCTACCGGTATCGTCTTCATATCACACCTGGCGTTCCAAATCACAACTCCAACAGGCATGTCACTGTCTTTAGACCGGCTCAATATCTTGACTAATACTTTAATTTTAATTAGGACGGTTATCATGGCAGCCGATGATATTACAGACAAATCAGAGTACCAAGAGCACGTAGGCGAAAAGAGCTATGCTCAGGGCGACAAGGCGTATGAGAAGGGTCAGAAAAACAGCAACCAAGTAAAGGGTAAAGATATGATGGGTGATGCCGGAACAGCAGCCCAGGCAAAGCGTTCGGGTATGCAACTCGTGAAAAACGCCGGAAGGGTAACCAGAGAACGACGCGGTTATAAGGACAAGGAGAGTGACGAGGAAAAGAATGAGGGAAAGGATGGGGAGAAAGATGAGAAGGATGAAAAGGAAGCGACGTAATTTATCGCTTCATCCCCTCATTTGACGTCGCAACATACTAAGTACTTTAGAAATGTTGTGGATATCGTCCTCAAGTTTATAGGCTCATGTTAATTCAACATTGTCTCAGTAATTGATGCAAGGTCACTATTCAAGCCTGAAATTGGTAACTCTGAATGCACACGAGGGCATCTCGTCACGTGGCTCATAGATAGATTGACTGCTTCGGTTCGAGTAGGCGGCCATTTGAGAGTACGTAGGCCGCGTTGGTCTAGGCAACAGCCAAAACTACCGTGTACCTACTTAAGCACGGTCATTCCCTCTTCGGATTCAAAGGAACTTGGCCTGTCTCCCCACAACCACTACATGTAGGATTCGAAAAACTGAGCTTAGTGGTATATACCTCTCGTCATGGCCCTTGAGCTTTTTATCCCATCCTGCATCAGATCTCCTCCTGGGCATCTCCATCTACCGGATATTGAGCGGCCGCTCAGAATCAGGATCGAAGGTCCACGAGAATCGATAGAAAAGCTATTCCCGTCTGTTTCATGGGATACTCGCGTATTTGATGGGAAGTTTCCTCAGGAAGCTGGTCCACTACTCGCAACGCTGACGTTTCGGCACATTTATGGGAAGAGCGTCCGTTCTGATGTCCCCGGCGATTTGGTCGTACGGGACGAATACATTGGATGGATTGGAGAGGGTCATAGAATAGTAGAGTAAGGTTTTATCCATTGCCGGCTGAAATGATTACAGCTAACGACAGGTGTCTTTTTAAATAGCGACTTAGACTACTATGGTGTTACGTTCGATCATCTTGTTCCCGTGGATGACGCCGATCCAGAGGTACTACAACTCAACATCATCGAGGTGGAGTCTGATCAGGGCAAGACTGCCAACGAATACGTGAGATTTCCGGTCGATGCACTGGAATACACAGGAAAGAAGGTATTGGCCGTTCCCAGATGTTGTCAGAAACGAAAGGGCACTACAGATCGCGCAAGGGTCAATAATGAGGTTTTGTACAGAGATGGGCATCCCAACCCGTGGATGCAAAGCAAGTAAAGCAGTGGTGGGCCAGTGTCGTAATCGTCAACAGTTGCATGCTTAAAGGGCGGCGTAGTTTCTCTCCACACATGGCATACGCCATTTTTCAACAGTCATAACGGTATGAAAACCTCTGGGGTGCTGGATTATCTACAGTTTATATCTACCTTACATAAAGTCTCGGAACTAGCAAAGTCAACTCAATTCTATCTCAGTGCTCACAGAAACTCCACTCCACATCCCTCAGCTCGTCATTAACAGTCCTTGACAGAACTGTCCTTTCCTTCATGAGATCTTCACGCAGCTTCTTTGCGTCGTCTATTTCAATTAGGGCGCTCATGGTCTCAACGATGTCGTCCGCCCCCTGAACCTGGTCTCTACCCTCGAACCAATGCCTCTGTTGGGGAGGCACATTTGCCGTCGAAATCACAGACACAGCAGGATCGACCAAGAACAAAGCCACAATCTTCCTATACCCAGGCTTCGTCGGATCCTCCAACCTGAAAGGCCGCACCTTATGCTGGCTCAAGTTCGAGAAGAAGAGCGCCCTCCCAGGCCGCGTTAGCACGCTTCCCACCTCCTGGAGGGTATCAGAGCTACTACGTATAGCAAAGACCTTTTCGATGGACTTGTGATCGTACTGCTGGTAGTTGAGACGCTGATCCAGCTTCTCCCTGTTCCCTGGAGCGCGGAAAGCGAGCTGGGACTCGGTGATGTTGGCGCTATCGTAGTAGAAGAGCGCTGTGGCGCAGATGTGCTCGTTGAGTTGACCTTCGATGTGCCATGAGCCGCCATCGTAGGTTGGCTTCTCGGACGTAAGGTGAATGTTGGCGAGCTTGACGATGACTTGAATGCGGGGCGCGTTGTTGAAGAATCCGGCTTGTTTGATGTTCTTGGGCGACAGTCTGAAGTACGAAGAGGGCTCTCGAACTTGTTCGTCTTCACTGTCGCTGTCATCGTCGTCGTCATAGTCGTCGTAATCGTCCTCATCATGACTTTCGTCATAGTGTTCATCGTCGTCCTCTTCCTCCTCAGAGGCCGTCTCGTCGCTCTTCAGTCGCTTGCTTTCGTGGGCGTTCCCGCGTTGTCTGCCTATCTTCTCTCCAGTAGCGGCTGTGGGCTGGACTAAGCCGTCGATCTCCAGGTGATGTTCATCTGGCCTATCGACGGGAACATCACTTTCGTTCTCACCCAACTGGATTCCCTGCTCGGGGACAGCATCAGGTATCGCAACACGCTTTCCAACCTTCCGCGCCCTGAGACGCTGTACTGGGAACTTTCTCACCCAGCGATAGATGATGTCCCAAGCTGGCAAAGACTTCTGTATCAGCTCTTCGATTATGGGGTACAGATCGGAATGTTCCCTTGGGTGCAGGTTATTGACATAACTCTCGATGGTAGGTCGGCCGTCTTCGCTAATGGCGACGTCAGATGGTAGCCACTGGAACTTGGTGGACACCAGCTCAACAGGCGCACCTTGCCAGTCGAAAGTTCTACCTTCACCAACGTCAGACTCGTCGGGTTTCGGTACGAGAAACTCGGGTCCGCCAATTTCGAGACAGTTGTCTAATGCGATGCGTTGATGCATGATACGTGAGCGGCCGTACAGGAGGGGGAAGAGTGACGGGTGCACTAAGTCGAGGACTTTACCGTCACTTCCCGGATGCCAATCCTGTTCGACATCGGGAATATCTTCGAGAGATTTGACGGCGACTTTGAGACGATCAACCAGGGAGCTGGGTAGCAGCTTGTCTGACTTGATGACACAAGTAGAGTAATCCAGGACAGGAATGAGGCCCGTTTCCTCGTACAACGCTGCCTTCTTTCGAAGTTCTTGCATGCACTTGGAGTCTCAATGTCAGCTCAGTCAATGCAATTGCTTCCTCGAGACCATGTGAAGGTTATATGAAATGGACTGAAACTTACCGCTTCAGCCATGTTCTTCGTGAAGTCTCCATGGCTTCTGTATGCTGCCCAGTCCAAACCCTGCACTTCCTCCTTCCACCTGGCGGAAATCACCGGATCTCGAACTTTCCGCCACCACTCTGGCTTGTTCGTAATGTCTTCCATGAACTTTAGCATGCAGACTTCTCGAATTAGCAGAGTGCTAGCTTTCCAACTCTTGTTGGTGTCTTCCATGAGCACAGGGAATCTGTCTCGCTTGTCTGGCAGGTAGTTAAGCGGCAGGCCATAGCCAGGGAGCCGAATCATCCCGGATGCATGGGTGATAGACTGAGGTCGAAGTTCATCGTTCTGGTGTTTAGACGTTAGTTACTGTTCCGTGATATGAGAAACACCGGCTGGGTGTGTACGCTGAATTGGTTGAATTGTAGTTCGGTCATTTTGAATATTCTAGTAAAAAGTCCGAAATGTTAGGAGATGGGGTGTTGAAACTGGCAACCTAGATGGACAGGTTACTAAGGCTCCAAGTTGTTCTCAGATGCATTTTTATCAAAAGTAGCCCGTCTAGCGCATGGCACGAATGGTATTTTATGTTCGTAAACAAAAGTCACTAGTTTGATCGGCTCGGGGATATTTCAGCGAGCTAAAATATTGTCCGCCAGTTGCCTGAACCTAAATTTATGGACCTCAAGCGACATGACTCGGCGGCTAGATGTCACTTCAGTGAATCTGTGAACATCAACATGCAAGTGCTGTTCAGTGAGGCCAAGGATTGACAGGTTGGCGATGCAGACTTTCTGTCGAACGATCAATAGTACGTACAATGAGCGATGAAATATCTCAAAATGAAACGTTTGAAAATATGTAGTCGCGATCTCATGTACATTATTAAATTAGGTTGCAGCTATTTGATGGTGAAGCTTAGAGGTATTCTCAATCGTAATAGAGGTAATCCAATTTCTGGACCGTGGTTGCATTCACCATGAAGCACAAGGCTACCCGCCCAGAACTAGTTCTCAAGATCATGGTAGCCGTGGGGGTCTCCGAGGTGAAAGTAATGACTCACTTGCATGGATTGTAGATTGTTTTCTTGATAGTTGGATACCTTATCTCGACTCGAAATTTGGGTGTTTGACACATATATGCTGATAGATGGAGTACGTTGAGATTTCAGGGAAGGCGACGAGTGACGGCTCAGGTAGTACTCGGCTTACTGCGGCACATGGGAAAGGACCGACAACATGAGCGAGCAGCAGGGGACTTTAGGGAGGGTACCAGTGTCTGCCTAGTCTTGGCATCATGCAATGCGTGGTAGGCGTGAAAGTCCCGTGGTGGAAAAGTTCAGTTATACCGATTGGAAGAAGATATTTTTGCAGTTCAGATCGTCATCTCATCCTCCGAGTCTTGGTCTGCATGTGTCTTTGTGTTGCCAAAACGGCGTCGATGATAGAGGCAGCGCTAATGGACTCAGGACACATTCCCGGATGAGAGTGAGCTGGGTACGCTTCCAAGACCAACTTTCAACTGGAGAAGTTTTTTGATAGACTTGAAGGAGTTCATTTGGTATCCCTTATCATTAAGCATTCGGTTATAAGTGAGAAAGCCTGAGGAGGTATCATCTAGGTAGATCTTGGTCCCGACACTGTCATGCACCATCTCTCACAAAGGCATCGCCAAGGCAACACCAGCAAGCGCGGCAAAAGCCCATACTGTCGCCAGTATTCCCACATTACCCCCCGTAGTCGTCATTCGGAGGCCGTGAGCCGCACTAGACGCCCCCGTCCCCGTCGGAGCCGAGGATCCGCTAGCAGCCGTTGTGCCGCTCTCCCCGGCGCTGCCAGTCCCCGTCTGCGCAGCCGCGTTATGAATCATTGTCACTGCGGGTCTCGAAGCAACCGGAATCCAACCATCAGCTTGGGCACCGGTAAAGGTCCGCGTGCTAGTCCTGATGTCGTAGCTGGTGGGTGTGTACGAGTATACAGCTCCGGAGACGACGGTATTGTTGTAGGTGAAGGTCGCTTGCGCCATGGTCACATTGCCAACGAGCCGCTGACACGCCGTCATGGCGCCGTACACTGACTCTGGAACTCGCGAGAAGCACTCTCCGTTAAACCCTACAGTGTAGCCACTGATGTAATAACGATCGTTAATCTTCGGGAAAACTCTGCTATGAGTGGCCGCGAACTTGAACTTACTCGGGACAGCAAATGACCGCGGTCTCATTACTTTCGAGAGCCTCCATAAGAACGTTGACGATGGGGTTATACGCCAGCCTGTCACTCATGTACCCGGACCCAAACGGCACGCTGACGATAGGCGGGACAAAGACTCCGGACGAGCTGATCGTGCCCTCGGCATTCTTTGCAGCGACACCCGCTGTCGTGTACTGATCAGGACAGACGCTTGCGGGCGAGAAATAGGCAATGGTGCCCGCGTCAACGGTGGTAGTGGCCGCTGAGCGGATCTGATCAAAGACGGTGCCGGAGGGGAAACACTCGCCGTATGCCGAACCTTCGCATTTCTGACGGAAAAAAGGTTGGACGCGGTCCGTGAAGGCGGATTCTGCGGCCAGCCAGAGGCTCGGGGATGAGGTAGCGCATGAACTGGGCGCAGTGAATGTTGTTGTCAGCGGCCCGACGTTTGTGATTGCATGTTGTGAGAGTTCGGTGAGAGGCATGTTGGGCTGGCCTGGATTCGGAGTTGCGCTATACTCTCTGTCAGGGTTATGCGTCTCCTGAATAAAATTCGACTATGAGCGCGGTTTGCAGAGTTGAGTTGAGGGGAAGTCGCTTTTAACTATAAGCTGACAGCACCAAGGGGGTTGCAATGAGAAGGCGCCAAAGACAGCGGCTTGCATGTTTTTCTCTTGGCAAAGACATGTCAGCTCGGTCTATCGGACTGCTCTCCAGGTTTATCGTCACATTAGGTTGTTTGCTAGCGTCTTCAAGGGCCAGGCAGACACAAGTCGGGCAAAGAGGGCATGTTACATTTCGTGATTCCACTGCCCGATTCAGCGACAAATCTGCTGTGCCGCGCCAGGTCAGCGAGCTTAAGCAGTCTTGGCATGAATCAAGCTCTGGCGACGCTCAGGAACATATGCCAGGCAAGGAAAAGTGTTCTGCGTGTAGCCAGCCATGCACGGCGCGCCTCGGACAGCCGATGGTCGGTGAGGTGAGTTGGGTTAGAGTGGGTGAGATGGGTGACTGGTTGGGCGGCATCTGTTGACGGCGGATTGGTGGGAATTCACAGGTCGCATCTTGGCGTCGTGGTTCGCAGGATTCAATAATCTCACTCTTTCCCATCAACTCCAAGGGAGCAAGCGTTGTGGGAACTTTTGAGCAATGTCATCAGTGTCGGCGAGCTTGCGATTTGAAGGCAATGACATCAGATGTCCCAGTTGGAGGGCCAAGATCGGGCGCTTTCGTTCCTCAGCCCATAGCTCCGCTTAGATCGCTCTCCCCAAGAGTCTGCCCTACGGTCCTTGGCGAGATCTGCGTCACCCTCCTGGGCTTCCCCGCGCGGCGATGCTAACAACCAAGATGGGTGAATAGCGCGATGGTACTGCGGCAGGTACCGAGATAGTCGACGTCGATCAATTTAACAAAAGCGACATGGACCGACGACTGGGCATTCGACGTCCGGTCTTCTGTAAAGGGTACGTCAGCTTCCCTAGATTCATTTCTATGGTCTTCTGCTTGAAGGCTCGAGGAGATTGTATTCAAGGTGTCTTTGAAGAGGCGTCTGGCCTACGCGAAATCTCAAAAACGAAATGATTTGAGGAAGACGACTTACTAAAGGCGCGGATCACAATTCATCAACAGTGTGGTTCGGAGCTTGGGATGTACTCAATGGAAATGTCATTGCCTATGACTGACTCTGTGGGGATGTCCCCGGTATCTGATTTAATCCTAAACTCCGTCTGGTCCCAACTGTTCTGGGGCCGTCGATGACACGATGATGCTTTGGTTGTCCATGTAACCCAATCCCCTCCAAACGCCAATGCCAATGCCGCGAAATACACAAACATCATCCACCTGTACCTCATGGTGGGTACCTCATCCTATGGATAGGGCTCATGAGACGGGGTTTCATGACGTGACAAAAGAAAACACCCACTCAGCAGACGTCCAACGTCGGGCACGCAGATTCAACGATGCGCGCCGCGAGGTTCGGACGCAGGACACGCTGGAAGTGGCCCAACTCGCTCCTCGGCTCGTGTCTCTTGACCCTAGCCGTCGCGGTCTCTCCCTCCTTGGCCTCATCAATCGCATCAACGAAAGCAAGTCTGCTTCTCGCCTCGCCGGCAACGATCTTGGCCGTATGCGCAATCGCTCGCTCGCTCAGGGTGAAGGGCGAGTGGAAGAGGTACTCCTCGGGCTTGTCGCACGCAGCGTACCCTCCGCTCGCAGCCTCAGCCGTCTCTGAGGTCTTTGCCCAGATACACGGCGTCCACGCCTCCGCGAAGAAGAGGTTATCGCCATCCTCGGTCCTGTTACCCCGGCCCGTGCTGTCTGTGAGGTCGTACTCGCGCATCTGCTTCTCGATAATCGCCTCGCGGACGAAGCTGGCCGTATCGATCTGAGCGGCCACACGGCGGGGGAATGGCACGCGGAGAGCCTCGCCCTTGGGAGCGGCCTTGAGACCTTGCTCTGCGCGGGAGCGACGGTAGTGGGCTGTGGCGCGCTTGCTGGCGGGCACGTAGCCGAACTTGCCTCTCTCCTCCTCAGGGTTCTCGGGCTGAGGGTCGGCGGTACGCATCCACTCATCCATGCGGCCCTTGATCTCCGAGTTCCATCGCGCGGTCAGGTGCGCCGCGTTGGTCATTTGCTCGGCCTTGGTGTGAGGGCTCGGTGGCGCCGGACGCTGGGCGTGCCAGCCGGGGGTGAGGGAGACGTCGAAGAGCTCCGGGATGACAACGCGGAAGTTTTCAATCTCGCGCTCGTCAATGTCGCCGCCTTCGCGATCCATGTTGTTCAGCTTGTCGATGAGCGAGGCGTTTTGGTAGGCCCAAAAGTCGGAGAAGGCGACGGAGTCGTTGTCGAGAGCGGCTTGGTAGACGCGCTCAACTTGTGCGAAGAGGGCGCGGGCAGCAAGGTCTACAATACCCTGGCCCAACTCTCGTGGCAGGGAGGCGAGTGTCCAGACATCCCAGGTGCCGAAGGAGAAGACCCAGATGGTCTCTTTCGGGATGTTCTCGCGGGCCTGGGGTTGGGCGAGGAACGTGTCGATCTGCGCGGTGAGATCGGCGACGGTATCGGCGATGGGGAACTGATCGAGGAGGAAGTCGTAGTTAAAGCCCGGCGCCTTGTACTCTTCGATTTCACGCTGGACTTTCTCAATGGTGTCGCGATAGTGTTGGTTAGACGTCAAAGCCTGCGCTGGGAGACTGATCAAAGGAGTGAAGGATTGGTGAGAGGAGCATCGGAGCTTGAGGTCATGTTAGTCAACTGAATCTCAAAGGCGACACGAACACAGAAATCAAACCTACCTCTTCGCAAAGGGCCTCAGTCCATCCTTTGCCCTTGGCTCCCTTTCCACTCGACGGCGTCGCGATATCAGGCGATCCGAACGCAACGACTCTAACACCACCAGACCCGAATCCAGCATCCTCTGCGCTTTTGCCAAAAGGCGACCAGCTCCATCTTGAGCCTGAATCGAATATCGTATCTGTCGATGTCGGCGATGTGAAGAACTTGCCCAAAAGAAGCAGACCGCAAAAAGCAAGAACAAGCTGGACGATGAGCCGCGGGCCGCCGCGCAGGACTCGTGTAGATACGAAGGCGAGGAGCATCTTTAAGCTCATGTCGCACTGCTCAAAAGGGTTGCCAGAGGCGCTGCTACTGCTGCTGCTGCTGTACGCCGTCGGTGATGAAGGCCGCCGTTCGTGGCGGGGGAGCTCCTTTGACATTCTGTGCGATGTGTGTCGAGGGAACTGAGTTGCGTCGTCAAAGGTGACGATGATCTTTGGGATGAGTCTAGGCGCCACGGTTGGTGAGGTGAGTCGACGGGGCGACCAGTGCGTGGCGTTTCTTCGTTCAAGTTTTGCTATCGTTTCCTCTGTAGTCGTTGCTTAATTTTCCCCCGCGTATCAACTGGCGACAATGATGATGGGGAATATGTCGGTTGCCGTTGATGTTTCGGATAATATTTCGTGATCCCTCAGTGTGGTGGTTTACACAGTCCTTCCCGATGTAGTAGGCGCTCGTATGTGTGTGTGTGGTGTGTAGATGGAACACCGTTGTTGCTCGTGGTACCGTGCCAAGCCGGCAGTCGAAGAGGCGAAAAAGTCAATGGGTGACCGCCAAGAGGTCGCTACTCCGGACGGGCGGGATGGTTACGTCGGGGACGGATGGTGTGCCGGATTTTCGCCCGTTGATCTATTCCTGAGTATTCCACCAGAGGAAGCTCTACGTAAACAGATAATGAAAGCCGTGGAAACAAGAAAAAGAATGAGGAAAGGTATCTCTGATGGATGATCAGGTACAAAAGTGTCAAAGAGGTCAAAGGGATCCAACAGGAGGAAGGACGAAACAATAACCAGACTAGAAGAAGACGGGAAGACGTCCCTTCAAAAAGCAACCTCTCAGACCCTCTTGCAGGAGAAACCGATGGGAATCTTGGTAAGAAAAAAGGGGGCCCTTCCTCCGGGTTTCCAGGGAACACTCGGGATGTGGCCCAGCCTTGAATCATCTGGGCGCGCTCAATGTCACTAACTGACTATCACCGGGTGTGGCTAACGTACATTCTCCATGTCACTCGGTACTTTGATATGGAAACTGGGTAAAGAGGCATTCACCGTCGTCACCAATGATTGGAGGGGGAAAGGCGGGAAGGCGGCTTGGTCTGATGGTCTTCTCATCCATGATCCCCGGTTCATCCCAGCTTCCACCTCAACTTGACATTCAGGCGAGCGGGGAGTGGGCACATCGGCGTGGTAGGCCTGTCCTTTCACCTCTTTTACTTTGCCTCATCCTCGCACTTCCTGGGAACGCAGCGGCGGGAGCGCTGAGAACGAACGAAACGGGAGCAGGGCCAGCTGAGGAAGAGAGCCATAGAAACCGCACAACGTTAGTCGGCGCTTGTCATTGCGGTTGCCGCACCGCTCTTGGGTTGCTGGGGATTGTGTCATCCTTGCTTTGATGTGCAGTCGTCGTAAGCTCGAGTGGAGACCGTCATCTGAATGGGGGTTCTATGGGCTTGCGAAGTGCGCGTGTGTGGCTCAGGCTTTTTTTTTTTTTTGGTTTGGTTTTCTGGGACCATGGCCCTATCCTTTTCTCGGTCCGCCCCCTTGAACGGCGGGGATCAAGGCAATAAGTCTATTTCCATCTATAATAATTCTTAGCAGACAACACTTAAGAATTAGAGTCTATCGACAGAGAGGAGATGGTGAGAAGCAGTGGCTCTACAGACACTCTGTACGGATATCGGCTTCAGACCTGGAGATCTCGTGGTGTCACGGTGGCTCAGGGGCTTGCAGACGTGTGTCTGCATCCGTCCAGGAGGCTGGATAGCATGTTGGTTCGTCTTGCGTCGTGTTTGATCCCCCCCGCTGTACCCGCTGCCGCGTTGGTGTCGCATTTCTGCAGGTTACGCAGCCCAGTACATTTCTGGGCGTTCCGCCGTCCCTGCTAGGCGCCCCAGTTCTGTGTCTTGCTGTCTTGCAACCCCATGGTTCATTGTCCATACCCATCGAAGAAGTCTCGGCCGTTGATGTTTTCTCTGTTTCGGGGGGTCTCATGACGGCTCTGAAGACCGAGACCGGGTACCTACACTTCTGACATCTCTCCTCACCCTCTAGAGACAAACATGCTCGGAATAATTGCACGTAGTTGAAGGCATGCAAAGCCGGGTTGATGCAGGCAGAGGGTGGAATTTTGCACCAGTGCCTTGAACATCCATAGGAGTCATGTCAAACTTCCTTTCTCCACATCCCGAAAGCCCTGCCAGCGGTCGAGCCGTGTCAATCACCAGCTCAGAGGAGAGTCAGCGACAGCGGCGAGCCCAACCCATCGGCAATGCATCACGCGAGTGTCTCCATCATCGAGAGTAGGTATAGTGGGGAAAGCGGTTGTGCTGCAGGGTGGAAGGATGGTAATCCATCTTCCCAAGCCTTGGAGGTTCAAGGTTGTTTTCTTTTTTCCCACAGATTCTGTGAGCATATCCTAGGCTCACAGCGAATGGTTCGCGCTCGCGGTTTTCGTGTTCCCCCAAAATGTCTTGACCGACTTGGCTGTAACAAGAACGGTTTGTACTTCAGCGAAAGATCAGCCACCAGAGCCATTCCCGAGCTAACCGGATAGCCGCTGCCGAGACCTTGCAGTTCAGTCTCTCAGAATTCCCCCTCCCGTCAGTTTTCACCCATCTTCAAGTCTTTGCGGCGCCGAGGACGGCATCTTCGGCCATCACAATGCTACCATGTCACTTCAAGCTTACCGCTTGTGTGTTGCGTGGCTTGGAGCTATGTGCCGGCCGCCGGGCCATGGGGCGAACCCGAGCCATGCTGCAAAAACACACACACACAGCAACGAGAGCCTATGGGCCATAGAAACAATTGCCCAGTCAATGCTGCCAAAATTCCCGACGGGGGAGAAGGGGAGAGACAAGGGGAGTCGAGCTCCCTTACCCCTGTCCCCCAAGAATCTTAGCACACGTCATTCTGGATGTCTCCGAGAAATTCCCAATACTCGTCCCGCCCCTCAGAGACATGGGCGGATTCGCGGAAACACACGAGGAGGAGGCCGCGGTGGTGGGTTCCATACGCCTGTGTGACAGGTTCCGCGAAGCCCGCCCACATCGTTCACAAACTTCGAAACAAACGTTGATCTAGAGAAATTGAAAAGAGGTCGAGAACAAAACGGCTTCCACGTAATCCTCGAGAAAGGTCAGAAGCCCCTCCGTTCTCGCTTGGCCTCCCTCCGAGCTGAGCTAATTCGGACGCGCCGCGTTGCACCGCCGGGGGACTTCCCATGTTCTCTCCCTTCTTCTTCCTCCGCCGCCCGCTCGGTCATGCGCCGTGCCGTGGTCCGCCCACTTCCCGCGGCTCTAAATTTGAAAAATGGGCGGCCGTCCTCGCCGCCGTGGTGGTTGATTGCGATTCGCGAGTCCCACTTACCTGGCAGATGGGGATGAGCCGAGGGATATGGTAGGATAAACAGAGAGGCTCAGCGTCTTTGAGTATGAATGCATTCGTAACCTAGGCACTTAACAATCTTAAGTAGCATCTTAACTCAGCCTGGATGTCCACGTCGCCCTTATCCAGGCCTGCCTTCAACTCAAATAGATGATCACCAAATGCTTGAACCCAATTAAGCACTTTTCGCAATGCTCTCCATGCCTCCACCTTCCGTCGCCACGTGGTGGTCGACTGAACTGAATCTTCACCTGTCGTGTACTCCACATTGCGTGTACCCGTACGATTGTCATTGCCGGGCAATCACGCAACCCAAATTTAGAAGCCTCCCTCGAGATACATGCCCGTCACGGCGAGCCCAATCGCCGTGGTGAAGGGATACTTCTGCGGGAACCCCGGTCCGCCGTGCTCCGGGTCCAGCCCGCTGGTGCCGGGGTACAACAACGAAGCCCATCCGGCCACCCAGTAAATGGACCCCAAGAAGCCCGCGATGCGGAACGACTCCTTCGCCATTTCGGCAGACGTGTTGTTTCGCCACGTGAAGAAGAGGGTTGCCATGCCCAGGATTAAAGAGAGCGTCATTGTCTGCGCATTGTGGAATCTGAGTGGTTGTGGTCAGCTTTCGCAGATGACGGAACGCAGACATGTGGGCTGACGGCATCGACTTTTTCTGTCGTGCGACCTGTCGGCATAGAAAGGTGAGATTACTCACTTGGCATGCGGCGGCCACCGCGGATTGTGGATGTGCGTCTCGTTCCAATCAGCCATGTATGCGCCAAACAGCAGCATGATGCCGTCGAGGGTAAGGAGGACGCGGCCGAACATGTTTGCGGGCCGATATCAATGTCTCGGCAACTCTGACTTGTCGCGGAATCCCTTCGATCAATTGTGTACGTGAAATGCTTCAGTTGAGCTGTCGTGGGCCTCATCAGTTGTTAAGACCAAGCTCGGCATGCTAATAAAGTAAGTAGATACAGTAGTGCGCATTCGCGGCTTGCGAGGCTCCTTTAACTCCTCACTCGTCCGCCAGACAGCGTCATCCGTTCATCAGAACGTCTGAAATGTGCAGAGTCGCGTCTTGTCTCGTTGCCGTATCACGTCGACACCTGCGAGAGCGCCGCACTCCTCGTGCTCCGACTTTAACACGCGAGGAAGCCCGCCTGGACAAAGGAACTCAATGCGGCCCGCTCACTTGGCTATAGTCACCTCTGATTCAGGCCTAGTTGAGTGATATCAATCCTACCTACCCATGTTCGTTCTCTGTTTTCCTTACCTGTGGCCGGACTTAGGATGAATAGTGTTGGGGATCTCCGATGGGTTCCGGGCGTGCCGCCCTCGAGGCTCGTGGCGACCTCAGATGCGGCACGCGAGGAGATGCTTGGGCCCGGTCTGAAGAAACTGTAGTAAAAGCCGTTGTGAGTGCGCAATTTGTAGTAAGGGATTGGAACATTGGACGTCAGTGCATATCGTAGCCGTATCTTGAAGTCTCTAGGGACTCACTAAGTAGAAGGCCGCCCGCGAGGGATCCGTCCTCCCCCACGAAGAGGACCTCAACGTCTGTCTTTATCCCTCAATACTCGCTTTCAGGTTGCTTCATGAGTAAAACTTCAGGGTTGATCACCTCTTGGCGAGAAGTGATTGATTCAACAAGCTAGATAAGTACGGTCAGTATGATGGGCTGCGCTCCGAGGGAACCCCATCATGAGCCCCGTCTCCGGTCTTACTCTGGCCGGTAGAAATACTACGGGCCGAGCGAACCCTGGTTCGGAATTTGGTCCGGTAATAGAACCTTTGCTTCGTAGTGAAAGCTTCACACCACGACATTGTGTATTTCAGCGAGATACTTCATTTCAGTGTACTGCAAGAAACCATTACGAGAGCTGCAAGTTTTGATTCATATGCTGCCTTAACGCACGCTAGACAAGCGGCGTGCTTGGGCTTCAGAGGGAGAAAGTTTGCTGATCTCAGGGAGTCTCAAAGCGAAAAATTGCCCCGCGAATACCAACCGCATTTACGTATGTTGGCTCAGCTCGAACCATCCCCATGATGCAGCTGCACTATGATGCCGTTGAAGACAACAACGTCTGGCGATGAATTCTTAGACGGGTTCAGTAAATGTGGAACTTCCATTTCTTGTAGACGTTCAGCGTCATGGCATATGGTTTAGTCTACCTAGTCTCGACTCGCTCATGGAACGCTACTCGTAAGTGAGCCTTATTAGCATGGATTCGAACATCACCACAACCCATGTAGCTCGGACCTGATGTTGGGGAAATGCTCGAGCGGCCGCAGCTAAAGGTCATGACGCCATTCCAGCCTCAAACATCACAAGCCAGGAAGCTCATCCCTACACTCAGGGCCCCAAGCTCTTCTTTCATCGCGCACACCAAACGTAACCTTTTCCCACCTCCATCAACATTACCTCGAAACTGTACAACCGCGAGATACGAGCCCATATCCTTCGACCGCATTATCCACTAGACCTCCCTCTATATGACCATCCCCAACACGACCATGGTCTCCACCAAAAAGGTCCTCGTCCTAGGCGCAACAGGCAAGCAAGGCGCTGCCGTCGTCGACGCTCTCCTCGACCTCCCATCTAGCTCACCAACCCTCGAGATCCTCGCCCTTACACGAAGCCCCGAGTCCGCAAAGATCAAGTCCCTCATCGAGCCAGCAAAGGCCAAGGGCGTCACTGTCACGCCCGTCCAGGGAGACCTCAAGGACTCCCCAGCGCCAGTCTTCGAAGCCCACCCACGCGTCGACACAGTCTTCATCGTGACCACCATCGGTAATGAGGACGCCATCGGAAAGGCCTGGGTTGATGCCGCCATCGACAAGGGAGCAGCCTCGCAGATCGTGCTGACGTCCGTTGACCGTGGGGGCGAGGATAAGTCATGGGTGAACCCGACCGATGTACCGCACTTCTTGCAAAAGCACGCCATAGAAGTGCATCTCCGTGATCGTGCAGACGCGCTTGAGAAGAATGGCAGAAAGCTTCGCTGGACTATTCTGCGCCCGACGGCGTTCTTGGATAACACCAACCCGGGCATGTTTGGCAAGGTGTTTGCGGCCATGTGGTCCACGCTACCCGCCGATCGGAGCTTGCAGCTCGTCTCGGTGCGAGATATCGGCCTCTTTGCGGCCAAGGCTATTGGTAACCCCGAGAAGTGGGATAGGAGAGCTGTGTCGCTTGCGGGCGACAGCGTCACTTACGCCCAGGCGAGAGAGACGTTCAAGAGAGTAGTCGGCAGCGATATGCCGCAGACGTACACCATCTTTGGTCAGGGCATGCTCTGGGCTATCGCGGATGTAGGCAAAATGTTTGAGTTCTTTAGAACTGAGGGCTATGGGGCGGATATTCAAGTTCTGCGGAAGGAGGAGCCACGTTTGCAGACTTTTGAGGCTTGGCTTAAGGAGAGTAGTGGATGGAAGAGTGAGATAAGCGGCCTTTGATATCTCGAGAAAGAAATGCAGCGTTATGATATGATGGATGAGGAAGTCAATAATTAATGTAATTTAGGTACTTGAGACGCATTTCGAACGACGTTATGCAACCAGTTTGCTTCTAGACCGCTGTCAAGTACCTTCGTTGTCCAACTGTAATGTCGCCTTGAGTCGCCTAATAGAAGCCTGTAGAGGTATCGCGACAGCTTGTAAAGGTATCTGTATTCGCCATCGATAGGACGTCGGATTCTAGACCACGTGCATTATACGAAAGAGCACTGGTTAATGGAAAAGTTTCAGGGATGTCAGAGAAGACAAGCCAACTTCGCTTGCTTGATGTGGTCGTTTACCCGAAGTCATTATCAGGCTGGTTTAGTAAGTGTGTTCAGGGATTTCAATTTTTTATCAGAGGATGAGTTTTGTGAACAAAAGATCTTCTCAGTGGATTGACGTATCATATTGATCCTTGATCTCTGAGGCTCGCCAATTGCAGACATTCTACCCATTTGTGTTGTTTGCGTCTATCTTATGCGGATTGCAATTGGGTACGAGACTCTGAAGCTAGATCCAAAGTTCTTATTCACTCTCATTTAGGATAATAAGAAACGCCGGCCAGCAGTAGAGGTGGTGCATCACCCACCCCGGTTGGGGCGCAAGTCCAACGAAGGATCACTACCTTGTCTAGGCAGCCATCAAGTTCATTCCGCCATCCTCCAAGGATACAAAGTAGGCTCATATAAAGTATTTAAGGTCACGGAGACCTTATACCACTCGTTTTTAATATCTTTAGAGGTCATCGCCTTTCTAGACCTTGTGACGGTACATCATAGTCGATATGAGGCTACTGGCCTTTTCCTTTCTAGTCTCATCCGGCATCTTACTCGCAAGGGCTCAGCAAGAGTCGCCCCTCACAAAAGCTCCGCCAGTCACCTCTGAAACAACGGCAGAGGAAAACAGTGCTGCCGCAAATATGGCTGACACGATCGAATACGACTTCGTCCCAGTCTATATGCTCACAAAGCTCACAAAGGAAGAAGAGGAAGCTTTTACATCTGCAATCTCGGCTCTGGAAGAAGGCGTTGCCGAAGAAGACGACTACCTCCGGCCAAAACTCGTGCACTGGACCTCGGATGTAGATGGTACAGTCGAAAATGATCTCTTGCCTATGAACAAGAAGCTTGAATTAGAAACCACGTTGGAATCTCAGTCCTACTTCTTTTTCTATGCCGATCGTAAGAGTGTCGAGGACGGCGGAACTATCGTTGCGGGACACGACTGGGGCACCCTTTGCATCTCCCAAAGAGCGAATCAGAAGTTCACCGAGTTTTGCCAAAAGAGAAATATCAATCTCCCTAGAGGTGGCTGGAAGGGCATGGACGCTATCATCGTGGAGTTAACAGAGGAGATCATCGCCTGGGGCGTGACCTGGGGCCGCCAGCCGGGGCCGTCCTGGAAATCAGCCTACCAGAACCTGGATCTTAACAACATGCAGATGTCTGAGCTTATCGACATGCATGGCGAGGAAATCAACATTCTAAAAGATGCCGATTGGGATGCACGGACTTTTGAGAAGAGGCTCCGGGAAGAACTTGACAAGATCAAGGACGAGCTTTAGTACTTTGAAGATGCAAATCATGTAATAATTGAGACGCTAATGCTTATTGACCCGTAAATGCTTGTTGAAAGTAAATGTGTTGATGCCCCCAATGCTTATCTCAGTTCTTGGAGAATCTTTCGGGGATCGGACGCCGGGACACGAGCAGGTGAACCGGCTCCCGTCCCCACTGCCAGCCTCTCTTGGGCCTCGTCTGCATCGGAGTGACTTCGCGCTTGTAGATGCCTCTCTTGATTGGCGAACGAGCCGTACCGCATGTCGCAAAGAATGAGTCGCCGAACGCCTGGCAGTCCGTGTCGGTGAAGTTTTGGGAAAGGTTGGTGCAAAGCTGGCTGTTGCTGCTGAGGATGCCGCCCTTTTGACCGCATAGCTTTTGGCCGCCTGTTTGTACCACGGAGTTGGTGATATGTGTCCTGCATCGGCATTGAATATCGCCCTGCTGTGCTTGTACCATGACGAACCTATTGATGTTAGTTAGGGATCAACGGGGCTCGAGGGTTTGGTGGGAGATCTTACATGATCGCCATCATGATGTAGGAAATGATGTTCTTCATCTTGTCAAAGTCGTTTGAGTGGAGTGTAGTACTAGAGTGACTTGATTGTTTGGCTGCTGTCAAAAAAAAAACTCTGTGTATCATAAGTACGTTGGCACTGGTGGTGATAAGCCTTTATGTACGAAGATCAAACTCCCGAGGCCACCTTGGCGCACGCGAACGACAACTCATGGCAACCTCAACATGCAACGAACCACTGTAGCAACCACAAAGCGTAATGTGGGCGGGCTACCCGTGACTCGCGGCCTTCCACGAATTTTCCAGCTGTCAAGCGTCTGATGTTGGCCTCCTTGTGGCAGTAGCGCCTGACGGAAATGCCGATGGGGGATCTATCTGTGTGCTTGTCGTCTCATCTTTTTGGCCGCGCCTCATCAACCTGCCAGCCGCAGCCCGCAGGTAAGGGTTGATGAGGGGGACTTGCAGGCCTGCAGCTAATTCTAGAAGAAGGGAAGGGGGAGTTAGGAGAGCATAACTTTTTCCCAAACGGTCGTCCACGTTCAGATGACGTGTGTTCGTCAATGTCAGACGGAGCCATTGGTGTTCCAGATCCTTGCGCGTGTTTCATAATAAGGGGGCCACCACGGCTGCGCGCAACGCGTTCGCCCGTCGCAACTTGCCCGCTGACGAATTCTTAAACAGGAGCAGAAGAAATTACTTCAGCCCTCACGAGAAAAACCACCCGTTAGCGAGGACGATGAGCCGACGGGCACCTCCTCTTCGGCTCGATGCATGTTGTTCATCGGCCGAGAAGACGCGTCAAGGGGATCATGGGGTTTCATCATCGAGACCAACAAACCGCATACTTGGTTTTGAGCGATGAATGTCAGTTAAAGGAGCTCTCATTCTCGGGATGCATTAGACTCATCTCACGTCGAGGCAATCCAAGTGGTCCTTCCAAGACCAGTAATAGCTATCAGAACAAAAGCTAGATGGAGGTTCTGCAATCAGTTGAATCATAGCCGCACATCAACTTTTTGCGAGAAGTAGTCAAAGCCCATCATGAAACACCTAGCTAACTTTGACCGATCAATTACTCCTCGAAGCACCAAGGTTTCTAGGATTACTGATAAGGTCTTTAAGACTAAGTGATTACAACATAAGCATCTTCTGAGTTCTCAACGGATTAGTGAAAAAGTAAGAACGCCTCGTTCAGAAACTCTGAAGGACTTTCACGGGATGATGATTACTAGATATATCATTCTGGAGTTGTCATCATTCTCATACAAGTCGGAGTATGAGTGAAATGAAAAACACAAATATGGGGGTGTGGATTAGCTCTATGTTGTAAGCATTTCTAGTCTCGAGGGCATCTGCGAAAGGCACATACCATATGCCCAAAGAGCGATCTGATTGGTCACTGGCCGTCTAAGATCATATTCTACCTAAGCCCTTTTCTTTGGTGATGTTAAAGACCACGACTTGTACTACCTGATAATGCCAGTGCTTGCTTGTTCAGAATATGGACATCTGGCACTTTCCAGCATGGGAACTACGCATTTTATTGCACTTGCGTACACTCCCAAAATGAGCGTCACTTGTAGTACCTTAACTTAAGTCGAGAAGCTGTATTCAAGGCGTTCATCTCAGCGTAGACTTAACTTGACGCTCGCAAGCTGTTTCCAATCCCTGTAGTTGGAGTAACACCTCAAAGCCTTGCAAATGGTCTGGCATATACCTTCCCATTAGTAATTACCACTCCATTGAGTTGCAGGGTCCAACCAATCCGTTGAAGTCTTCAGTCGTGAAAAGGGCTGAACATTGCACTCTGCGCCGGCAGACGACTAGCCCATACCACGGCTACAACGGCGAAAGAAGCAAGACGGGCCATGAAGGGAGTTCTCGCTTCTTGTCATGCGCGTTGACCCCAAAGTCGGCTGATCTGTTTGCTAAAGTTCTGGCACAAACTCTACCACTCTACCCTCATCTCACCTACTAGTAAGTGACAGCACGTGATACATTGGCTACAATGACGATACGAGAGAGTTTTCTTTACATGTTCGCTTTGATTGAGCCAGTGATAGCGACATGAATCGAAATCCCGCTCTTCCTAACTGAGAGGTGAGAGAGACCTGGATTTGTGAAGCGTTTTTTCCAAAACAAAGTATGAAGCTCACGATAAACATATATCAGCTTAGTATCTCTCGTACGTTTGAAAGGTCGAGTTTTCACGGCTTTGAGCTCGAGGTGTATTTTAGAATCGGACTAAGTTGTATACAATAATGGTCATAACTATTCACTAGATGACTCCTATAGGTACCTATAGTTGCATCTCTTTGGCGGATACTTCGGATAGTCTCAACTATACATCTATGATAGCCCCTCCTTGTATGCGGAATTCCAGCCCATGCGAGAGTAGTAAATAAGCGGCTGGGGGCTGATGTGTATCAAACACGTACAGAGCAACGCAAATTCACGTACCGCACTCTTGCTGACAATAGGGACGAGACAAAGGTCTAATATCACGAAGAGTATGACTATATCGCAGAAGCGAATCTTTCCTATAGGCTATACATTTTGAGAGCTCGGAGTAGATGTAAAATTACAATCGCTCCATTGAAGTTGTTAACTCGCCTAATCCAGTTTACTTGCGACGGAAAATCATTTCGCCATTGTTCAGCTCTAGCTAAATCATCGTCATATTTAAAGGTGACTCTTCCATAGCGAAGTATTCCTGGGAAAGGCTCCCAAGCGATGGTCCCGCATAAAGTCTGACCGCTGCCTGCTACCTTACATAGACGTGGTCCGTCAGGCTAGGTAAAGTAAACAAAAGCACCAAGCCTGCTAACTTTATTTTGCGTTGCAGATGGGAGCGCAAAGAGTGTCTAGAGAACGAGCGATTCGTCAGTCTTTTGTTTGTTCCCGAAGAATAGAGTCGCAGATGGCTTACTGCATTCGGCCTCGCTAGGCCTAGGACATGTTCGCTGGCAGTCCTCGCAAGCACCCGCAACAGCGGATGCAACGTAGGTAGCGAGAATAGCGAACACGATCTGGAAACGCATTTTGGTAGATTGAAACGGTCAACGTTCTCGCTAAAGAGTGCGAAAGGGATATATAGTTGTGGTGTTTGGCTTTAATGATGCGATGGAAAGACGAGATGTTGTGAGTACCCCAGTTCGAGGAGGTTAGACTGCCTTTATACCTGGGACAGTCCATTGTACGAGATCGGAAGGCCACTACCAAATGCCAATGAGTCAGGTAATGAAGAATCCTCAGGTTTGAGCTCGTTTGATACTCGCGGTCGCCAACCGCTTGGCAAATACTTCCATAATTTGTACACAGTGGTACATCTGACAGTCTGTTAATTGAGCCACACATGCTTCGTGACTACTCATCTTCCCATACACAATGTCGCCGCTGCTCGGAGCTAGGGATTTTACTCGCAACTCTTGTAGGAGGAGGGCAGGCTCACATATATTCTCTCAACGTCACAAGATGCAAGAACAACTCAGAGGTACATACCAAATCGTGTCTCAAAACCCTTTGACAGTGTCCGCATGGGCATGATGTTTTGGTCCGAATTATTGTCACGGTGCATCGACTGTGTTCATTCAATGGCAACTTTCAGACTTCAACTCAGCATTACTGTGACTTCGATGGGGATCCGGAGAAGTCCGCCGGTAAAGACGGGCAGTTTTTCTCTTCCAAAACCTCGCTTGGCATGGAGATCCCCTGTCATCCGATGTAAGAACCCATCAACTTCCCCAAGAATATCACTTTAACTCAGCCGTCCGAAACCATCTCTTGTAACAAGGACAGAACTCTAACCATTGGTTCGGATTCAAATGTTGGCGGCTATGGACACTGTCAGATTCTACGAGGCTCGTCGATCTCAACGCGATTGCGAGGGCAAGTCTCGTCGCCACTCTTGAAGGTGCAAGGGTTTCCACGCTTGTAAATTTGGCCTGGTCAAAAAGTCGCCGGCTGAGTATCTATGCCTTGTTGCTTGACATCAGAGCTTTCACACATGCATGGATGCATGCACGTGCATGTAGTGCCCAACCAACGGGAGCTCTATTTCATTATATAGATTTCAGCACTCAGAGCTCTGTTGCGTCTTCCCATATTTGCCTTGTTCGGTGGTCCAGAATTGTTCAATGTCCCCAAGGCGAAGACCAGGGTAGCTTCGTTTTCAGCCAACTCGCAAACTTTGGTACATGTAGCATTCACCCACCCAATGGCCCGCGCTTAGCCGTATCCCATTGACATATCGAAAGCACTTGACTCTCCAAAGGCAACATCGCCATCATCCCAAAGAAGACTTAGCATCAAGTCCTCCCCGCCAGATGCGGTTGGGTCAAAAGACAACAGGTCTGGCTGATCACCCAAGTCTACAATCGCATCACCTGCTCTCCCAGAACGTTCTGGACTTCTGCCATGCTCGATGCTTTCGCGTAGCTGCGACGTCTCTCCATTTCTATGAGTCTCAGGACTCTCCGCTAAATTGAATGATAAAAGTCTTTCAACGTATGGGGCACCTGCATGGTGTTGCTCGATCGGCGAATTGGTCTTGAAGGAGTCGATGGCTTGTGAAAAACTTGTGAGAAGGCGGTGATATTGTGCTGCTTGCGGACTCAAGTGACCCAGAAAGTCCAGAACACGTAGCGCATTATGGAAAGCCTTTCCACGGTTTTGGGGCACGTCAGGGGCGAGCAGTGAGAAGCCAAGGACAAGACCGGCGGCAAACAACCAAGCCCTGAATTAACCATTAGTAACACGCATATTTGAAAAGATCAAAGGGCTTACTTCAGTATGCACATGTTGCCCATGATTGTGCGCGAGTCCAGAGCGTCAGCACACATCTCTGCCATGAACACAGCAGCATCCACACAGGCATCAGATAGTTCAGCAACGCTCTTCTCATCTTCCCCCCTTCCTTCATCATCGTGGTCGTCCATGAGTGGCGTGTCTTTGGTGATTCGCGGCATGATATGGTGGATTAAGAACTCGCGAGTTGTAAGGATAATGCCAAAGTAGTAGGTACAGGCGACGTGGATATTTCCGATAGCTATCTCTCGATTTTGAGAATGTTGAGAGTGAGCGGTTCCTCTCTTTGGGCGTTGGCGCAAAGCCGTTGGCAGGTCCTTACTCCAACGTCTAATCTCATCGAGGAATTGTTGTGCTCTGATCATGCCCAACTCAGATTCTTCGGTTAGAGTGTCGACGATTCTGTTCAAAATTGTGGCAAATGTGCATGCAGCGTCTGCAGATAGATTTCGATGTCGGTTTTCATGAAGCTTTACGCTTTGTCGCAGTCGGCAAGGTGCTACACTTGTTGGTCTTCCGAGGATTGAGCTACACACAACGTCAAAAAGTCGTATGCTCTTGTCGACCCGAGACCTTGATGGTACATCAGCTTCTAATTCTCTCCAGGTATGCAAGCGAAGTTAAGAGAAATGAAGGGGACAACATCGTACCTTAGACTTCGTTCGCTCTCCGAAAGAGACTGAAACTGCTCTGCCATGTGCAAGCCCATAACCGACGCCGCCTTTGTGGCAACCCCAAGGTACATGAACGCAGAGTTGCGACGACAAGCGCCAAACATATAGAAGGCCATTAACACAAAGCCGCGAGCGGTGTTCAGTGTTGGATCGCTCAGCATTCCTTCGAACGACAGCTTGCGTGCTTCTGAGAAGTAACGAAAGGCTTTGGGTGCATCTCCTATCTGGCCACGACATTGGGCGCCAATCGCAATCATCATGTAGAGGCACAGAAGCCTCCCTGAATCGATAGCGGAGCTGGACCTTAGAGACCCCGTATGCGATTTCTGGGTCAGAATGATAAGTTCTTCGATATCTGCTTCATCGAACAAGTCAAGGAGTCCACTAGACTGCAGCTTCGTCAACTCCACACTCACTTGAATAAGTCATGAGAGCTTCGACTCACAGCGTCAAGGTAGCGTTGAACCAGGGTTTTCCTCTCAGCGTTTTCAATGTCATCTGAGAAGTCGTCGGTCTGCTGCACAGGAACTTGTGCCTCGAACATGCGGTGACATCCCTGGCTAATCGTGAAACCTGGACCAAGGATACGCAAGCTTCCTCGCAGGTACTGTAAGAACGCAATGGCTGAGGCATTTCCGACGAACACTTTGGATCTCGAAATGTTAGCTCATTGGGGAACACCTAAGAACGCCTCGATATCGTCGCTGAAGCGGCGGTTGATATGGAAATCGTACCTTTTTCTCCACTACAGGTGTACATCATCACCGGGCGCGGACCGGGTGGCGTAACCGTCTTGCCGGACGTTGACGAGGCTGCGGTCTCGTCCTCATCTTGCAAAGATGATTCCTGATGCTGATAGAGTAAGGGGGACACCTGATCACGCTGCCGAGTCCCTGAAGCAGCCGAAGATTGATTCGGCGGTGCGCGACGAGCCCTAACATGCTGAGGATAGGTGCAGGACGAGCCTACTCCGCGTTTGACGCATGGTCGACATGGCTGCGCTGCGTCGCATCGCTTCTTGGTCGCTCGGCACGCCGTGCAGGCCCTGGTGGACCGTTTTCGGTCTTCGGGGCGTACCGGCGGCCGGGGCATGGCGTGGAGTTTGTGTAATCCGGTGCCTTGTATACGGCGGCCGAAAGTTGCGGGTCTACCGAAGAGGCGGCACTGAATGCAGGCTGCGGGCCGACGATGCAAGGTGCAATTGCCGCCAATTCACATCAGATGGACATGGAGCGATTCCACCAGGTTGTAAAACAGCATGTTTCGATCATGCTACGAAAGGTTGCACTGATTCTCAAACCCGTGAGGCCCCGTCATTGAGTAAGCAGATAAGCAACGTAAACATCATTGGAGTTGAGATAGGCTTATCAAAGTAATTCCCCGGATTGTCAATTCCAATCAGCGGCCAATTGGTAGGGCAAAGTGAGGGACCTCATGAATGCGAGCGGTGCTCGGGCCGCACACTTATCGTTGAACAAAACGTAAGTCCGTAAGTCCGTAAGTCCGAGATCTACTTCTGTACGGAAGTTCCGCCTCCACTAGACCAATCGAATGCCAGCAGTTAGGCTAGAAACTCGGAATACCGTCATGATATGAGCACTAGTTTATAATGACTCGGCCGGAGCTCATCCCGTGCCGTGTGGTGCACTTAGTATGAGTTGCTATCTTGATGCAAAGTATCTCATATTATAAGTTCTCAAACTTTCCCAGTCGGGTCAACGAGTCCAACCAAAGTGCTCCAAACTTGGAATCACGCCGATAAAGAAAAGTATCCCGCGACGTCACTATGTACGCAGACATCAGCAAACCCCCAGCTCCCCTTCCCCATTCCGAATTGCAGACGATTGGAAGCGGTATTTCAACACTGTCACCTCTTTCTCGCCGCGGGGTTGGGCCGGGACTCATTCTCCTTGTCCCTTCGGTCGACAATGCGCTAGCAATTGAGGAAGGCGTGCCCGCACTGCCCCTGAAATGGGCTGAGGAGGGGTACACGGTCATTGCCATTCAGCCATCAGCATTCGAGAGCGGTGTACGCGAGACTCTCGATCTTGCCATCCAAACGTTCCGCAACAGTGATAAATGCGACCCAAAAGACGTGGTTGGTCTTGTTGGTAAGTTGCAGTCTCCATTACGGATTTTGGACATCGCTGACTGAGATGCATTAGCATACGAGCCAGAATTGTGGAACACAGTTGCGCCGATCCTATCTGAATTCCCACAGATCGTGAGCACCGTGGTGTACGCAGATAGCTCAGAGAGGTCTTCGATCTCCAGTAGCATTTTACCCTCAGTCTATCACTTTGCTGGAAAATCCGAGGGGCAGCCCTTGCGGTCAAAGGGTCGAACAGAATATTTTTACCCAGCAGCCCAATCCTACAAATTTGCGACACCGTTCCAGCCGCACTTTGATTACAACATGGATATGCTCTCATACACTCGCAATCTAACTTTGCTGAAAGGCGAAATGAAAAGTCCTATTTTCGACTTGGAGGCTATCTGGGACGAGCATACTTGGTATGAGTTCGCTGATAGATCTGTGGAGCACACAATGAGCACAATGGTGCAAGAACCATATGTCAATCACATCCCAACGGTAAGGGAAAAGCCGATCGTGCAAAACGAAACAAAAGAACACACTTTCTAACGTTGACTTACTTAGTTGACCGGTGGCGTTGGTCGCGACAAGCTTACTGACTTTTATCGTCACAATTTCATCTTCAATAACTCAGCAGACACGGAATTGGAGCTTATTAGTCGGACCATTGGTATCGATCGTGTAGTCGATGAATTCATTTTCAAGTTTACACATGACCAGGAGCTTGACTGGCTGTAAGTATAAGCACAACCAATCTCCTCGGTACTTTGTTTAAGGACATGCACTGACAAAGTGATTATATTAGCCTCCCAGGCGTTCCGCCAACCAACAAGTACGCGGAAATCCCGTTCGCTGCGGTTGTCAACATCCGAGGTGATCGCCTGTATCACGAGCACATCACTTGGGATCAGGGTACAGCATTGGCTCAATTGGGCCTCCTTCCAGAGTATCTCCCTTTCCCAGGGGGTAATCTCCAGTACAAGGTTCCCGTTGCAGGCGTGGAGACAGCCATGAAGTTGAGAGCACGAAATTCTGTTCCGTCAAACGAGATGTTCAAGTTCACAACTCGCTCCGCAGACAGCGAAGGAGTGAATCCAGAGAAGGTGGTTCCGGCTGTAGCCGAAACCGGTGTGGCAACAGTTGCAAATTAGTTGAGGATGATGCTTGTTGTAGGATTGATCCAATGAAGTGTTACCATTATGTGAGGTTTTAGTTGAAGTTCTATGGGCGCAATACCATACTTGATGTACCTTAATCCCCATGTTTAATACCTGCCTACGACGCAAGACTAAGGCATACATGCTCATCTGTTATTTGGGGTATCTAAATATTGATGTGATAGGCTCTCCATTCCACCTTTTCGATCCATTGCCGGGTACTGTAGACAGAGGAACGCTGCAAGCTCACCTACGAAGGCTGGCAAGCCTTCATCCACAGCCCTTGTAAGCACGTATTGGATTCTCCTGCTTGTGCTTTAGGCTTCACGAAACCACAAGCCCGGCATTCCATTTTGCAATTCTTGCGCAACTTCAACAAGCAAGTATTCCTCCAAAGTCCCTTTCTCTCAACACGTGCCTGTTGAACTGCGGCGGAATGGCATGCAAGCTCTGGGTTAGAAGCTCTAGCATCTTTGACGAGTTGGATGATTTTCTCGATAAGTTCATCGTATTCGTCATGTGATAACTCTGAGGTGAACTCTCTCTGGCGCACAGCTGCAACCAGGTATTGTACAAAGCGAATAAATTCGGGCCCCTGTTTAACAGTTCCTTGCGGCATAAGATTACCGTCAATAAAGATTCTCCAGGTGAGATCCCAAGATCTGTCAAAAACAGGTTCGTCGTCCCTTCTGCGGCGCTCCTTTTCCCACTCGACTTTGCTCCATATCCCGCATGGCTTATTGCTGGGCACTGGAAGACGAAGGTCTTTGATGACACTGTCGGCCAATTCGCTATATTTCAAGCGAAATTTGATCATGGAAGCAATGTCCACGCCGTCGGTCGAGGCCTTTTCCGACTCGATTGTGTCAAGGAGGGAGTCCTGAATGTAAGCCCCATGTCCGCTATACCAGTCTCCAGGCCAGAGTTCAACAAAAAGTCTGGACATTTCCACCACTCTTTCGCGGCATAAAGAGCAAGTTGTCAAGGTCTGTTCGTCCTCGCGGCCGTTGAATGTGCAGGTGAAATGCGAGTGCACTTGGTCGCATTCAACTTCGAGAAGCTTGTTCAGTCTCGCCACCGCCTCGTAGTATACTGATACTAGCATCGTATCGTCACTGGACAAATCGATGAGGGGAAAGGCTTCGAGCATCATCTTGTATCTTCCTGGTGTGGTCTTTGGGTGTTTGAAGCTGATGTGTCTGAGTCTGATGGGCTTTCTCGGACCGAAATCTGTACGAGGTATGCAGACTTGGTACATATATGTATCTTAGCTACTGAGCTTTCTCCGAAACCTGGCTCCCTGCTTGAGTCCTTGAATTTGAGGCTACATCGAATTCTGCGGCTTAGAGCATTAAGCCTTTTGTTTGAATAATCGAATTGAGCCTGGCTTGGATTTGTGGAACCAGGAACACCCTTTTGACCGCGCTTGTGAACCTCTTCTTGATGCCATCCACGTTAAGATATGATGGTACCATGGATCGTGTAATTTTCTGCCGGAGTGACAATATTACATACTTATCTAATGCCATCTTTGGCGCAATGCCACTCCATCAGGGTGTCGTAGTTATCAGGGTCTAACGTCGCTTTCCTGAAGAGGACCTATCGGCTTCAGGAAACCACAACGGCCGCGATGGCTTCTCCCCTACACTGGCACATGGTGATATCTGCCCCCTCCCCCCCTCTCACTCCCGAAGAATTAAATCCTGAATCTCCCCAATATTCACGCCTTCAAGTCGTTTTCTCGAAAATCTCTTCAAACACCCTTCAAGTTTCAGTGGCAGATGTTTGGGACTTTTACTACCAATACGGCGATTTACCTGTGGTGCTTCTTATACCAGTGCTGAAGCGATCATATGCATCTATAGCATGCCAACCTATCTCAAATACTCAGAGATACTACGCCCAGAGCTCGAGGCAATCCGGGACTCGATTGATGGAGCGCTACAAGCATTCCAACCGTCTCTCTCTCGCGCCAATACCGCCGAAACCCTACGGGTAGATGCAGCAACAATCGAAACGAGGCTTAAAGAATTGCAAAGTCTTTGGGACGGGCGAGAAATGAACCAATATTGGGTTGCCATATGGACCTTGGTCAAGAAGATCATCACCAAAAAGATAATTCTATCTGAGAAAAATGCCGAAAGAGCTTTGAATGAAATTACGGCAAGTACACCCCTGCGATCCCTTCCATACCTGAACTACCTGATCTCTCCTCGCCGCAAGATAGGCTGAGGCATCCGTGGTTTTAGCATGGAGCTCTCCAAAACATCCATGTCAAGAAGTACTTAGCTAACGCTGGTGTTCAAGCATAAATATACCCATCCTCACCCAAGGCACAAATCAGCATATGGCCTCAATGCGAAGATCATGAAGAAGATCTCAAACGCATTGGTAGATTCCTGGGAAAATCCCGAGGATTTAACACATGTTGAGTTTTTCTACATACTCACTTGGATTTCCAATACCATTGGCAAGGATAAGTCAGCATGGTTTGCTATTCAGGATGTCGAATGGTCCAACATGGTTACTCGCAGCTACACGGACATTAGAGGATATATTGCTCGACAACCTTTCAGTCTTC